ATTGTTTTATCCTGGTGGGTCGGGATTGTACGTAAATACAACGAATTAAAAGCATATGACAAATAAAACAAAGCCGCCCGTTTGACGGTGGCAACTGATGACGCATATAGTCACTTTTTAACTTCGAGGATCATTTTTTAAATGTGGTGTTTTCAGTGTTACCTGCAGAGCAGTCCTTGCTGAAAAGTGGCACTTAGTTGTAAACAATGTTGGACGTCTGGCTCTAAATCTACAAAAATGTACCCGCACTGTTTTAGAGCCACATACAGCTTTGAAGTGGCAAACACTTCAAGCCATGGCTCATCATCCCTTTGTCTTTGCTTTGATTCATGCCGCGTAGGAAGTACCCGCAAATGTTTTTCGACACGCCCATGTCGGACATAGAATCGCACACTTTCATGTGGATTCACAGTTATAGGCTTCAACATGCGCTTGGGTGGGGGTTCAAACTGACCCCCCAAAGGTTTTTCCAAAATGGTTTCCGAACAGCTCGGTTTAGCCGCGCCAAATTTTGCATAGCTGTAGACATCTAAATAGCGGATCGCTTGACAAAATAATTTAGATGTACCTTGCAAGGTCGCTGACCTATGGCAGGTCAAAGCCAAGCCATGGTTTCAGTTAAAGCAATTTCTGGGGAGTCGTTCAATCTGATACAACAACGGAGTGTTTGACAAAGCCATACATCTCTGAAATGCTTTCTTAGGCACCACAAATCTTGAATGAGCAAATTACGTTGACCTAAGGCCAGGTATAAAGGTCAGACCAAGGTCAAAACCAACGTGATTTAATACTCTAGAGCTTGCTGTATGGGATAGTTTCTGGTGCTCATTTCGAATTTATTGAGAGCGGGAACCGCATAGGCCAGCATAGGTCATGGACCTAAGATGACCCCGGTCGACATTTTTGACCTTGTCTGACCTTTTTTGACCTAAAAGTTGTGACCTAGGAAACTTAAACTTTGAACTAAGTCAGTTCACGTATAGGCCAACACATCCTGTAAATTTGGTGTATTTAGCTCTCTTAGTTCCCGAGATCTCAGGGGGGGGGGGTCAAATTGACCCCCACCCGAGCGGAGGGTATCTAGGCGGCCGCTCGGGCGCGTGTGATCCCTCACCCCGCTAAGGGGAAGGGCGATGAACCCTTACCCCCTTCCAAAGTTTCTGGGGACATCTCCCTGGAACGTGCAATCTCACCGAATGTTTCGCTATCCTATGGTCAATCATTATGTGTGTTTTGACACCACAAACGTTTCTTCATCAGTTTGAGTTCTGAAAAGCAAAGTTGCTGTCAGATTACTGCATGGTGATCCACGGCTGGCGCGGGCGGCGGACGGCAACCGACGGATCCGCCGATGGCGCACGGCGACCAACACTGTTTCGTCAACAGAGCCGTACGTGATGAACGTATGTTCAAAATCCTATACATATCCATATATATATATATATATATATATATATATATATATATATATATATATATATATATATATATATATATGGCTGTATGCAAAATTAAACAAGAAAAACACTTGTCAAGTGTACGCTGTTAAGAGGCATTGTTAAATAAGCATGCGTACGCAAAGCTGAATGACGTTGTTTTCAGAAGAAATGACATTTGATCCGTTCTAGTGGGGTAAAATACGAATCGACAGGTATAAAACTGGCTACCAATCGCGAGACCTCGTTGAGGTCAATACGCTGGATTTTCTGCGGGACTGTTTCTTTCGTAGTTTTGTAAAGACAGGGGTCACATTGACCTCACCCCATCGTCAAGAAAAGCGGCATATTTGGGGCAAAGGTGAAACGACGCAGTACGATGGGGTATTCGAATACTCTCCTGGCTTATAAATGCCGCCGCACACAAATACATCGGTTAGCTCATAAAACTGGTGGCACAGCTAATTCGTAAGGAACGAAATGATCAGACAGCCTGTCAGCTGGGAGCGCTGGTTCCAGGCTTAAAACATTGAGCAGACAGCGTCCAGTCGAATGGTGTCAAGAGCTGACTAGTCAATCGCACATTCCAACCACTACTGCCATGAACGGAAAAAAACTCTCCACATGCTAAAAGTCCCCACAGACGGTTGTAAACTGGCTAATTACCTTCAAAACAGCGAAAAATCGAGTCGAGTCGCCCATGTCGGACTCTTGACACTAAAGCTGTGGATAAGTTAACGCATGACCCTCTGGACCTGTGTTCCTTGAACACCAGGCAGGTGAAAGAAACTGCATCTGATCAGTTGCATGCAACCGCCAGAAACTCCGACCAAGATTATAGAAGACCCTGGTTAGCGGTGTGCTCGGTGCTGACGGCCTACCTGGCCAGCCGGCCCGCCTAGCCAGCCGGCCCGCTGACCGGTAGCCTCGCGTCCCTGAAGGGATGCGAAACCCTCACTCCACACCGCTGAGATCCTAGCCGGCGACCGGTCAACGGGACGCCCGTAATTACCGAGGGAACTCCAAACGCAACCAATTATCCATCAACCAGTGAAACGTAAATAGAGGGCTCATTCCATGCCCTTGGCGCGCAAACTTCCAACACGCCAACTGCCCCGAGTGACATGACCGTGAATCGGTCAATGTTGACGTGAGCTAAGCTCGCCCACGCGCAGTCCTTGTGGATGAGATCCATGCCAGCTGTCCCTCTTGTTTGCACACGCGGTGATATAACCGAACCAGAAGCCATACGGCACGAAAGTTATTTCGCGCTTAGTCAGGATAATAGATTTGGGCAGCCAATCTGGACCCAAGATGGGGCCCAGGCATCAGCCCGCTTGCATCCCATGCTGGCATGTGGCCTGCTTGCCCACCTGCGGCCCCTTGTGGATCCGAGTCTATGCCGCCCACCCTTATTGCAAATTGGCTTGTTCACGATAAAAATATCAAACCATGGAGAATAAAGTAAAAAAAAAAATAATGCAGCAGTGTAAAATATATCAGCATATGGGCAGCCCATCTGGGCCCGAAATGAAGCCCAAAGACCAGCTCACCTGCGGCCCATGTTGACATGGCCCAACTTGCCCACATGCATCCCATAGGAACCCCAGCTCGTGCTGCTCTCTTTTGTTATGTGCTCGTTTTTGCATGAGGAAAAATCAAACGTGAGAGAACAAAGCAGCAAGCCTAATGCACCTGCGTCAAATATGGTGGCGTGTAGGCAGCCCATTTGGGTCCCAGATGAAACCCAAATACCAGACCACGTGGAACCTACATGGACGCGAGCCCAGCTAGCTCATGCTCAGCCCATATGAACCCCAGTCCAGCCCACTTTCACGGGTAAAATAATTGTGCACGAAATGGTAAAACCTCAAAACAATTTTGAAAATGATATACACAATTGTGCATGCAAAAACTTTATTGCGTATGTAACATATGGGCAGCCCATCTGGATCCAGCATGGAGTCTAAAGACTATCCCACCTCCGGCCCATATTGACATGAGCCCAACTTACCCTTATACATTCCATATGATCCCCAAACCTTTGCTGCTGTCCTTTGTTGTGTGCTCCTTTGAACATCATAAGAAAAAATCCAACGCGTTAGCACAAGGTAACAATTCAAATGCACCTGGACCAAATATAGTAGCGTATGGGCAACCCATCTAGGTACCAGATGGAGCCCAAATGCCAGCCCACCTGCAGTCTACATGGACATGAGCCCAGCTAGCCCGTGCTCAGCCCATATGGATACCAGTCCAGGCGGCAGTCTCATGTTTTAGTAGATGGCAAAACCCAGACAATAAAAACAAGTGGAATGCACACCAATATTGTGTGTATGTGGAAACTTTATTGTGCATATAAAATATCGGCAGCCCATCTAGATACCAGCCCACTTGCAGCCCATGTTGGCAATAGCCGAGGTTCCCCAATGATGGCCCATATAGATCACCGCAATGCACGTATTCCTTCCTTGTGAGTTATTTTTCTTGGTGTGATAAATTCCGACGGGATAGTGTAAGGCACGGACAGATTTGGTGCGTGCGAGAAAAAAATGACGTGGGTGCCCCATATGGGACCAAGCTGGAGCCCAGTAAAAAGCCCAGCTGTAACCCGTGCACACACTAACCCAGTTGTCCCACGTTTTGCTCGTGTGGGTCCCATTTGGGAATGCTGGCTGGGTATTTACTATTTATCCTAGAATTTGATGACCAGAATGTGTGGATAATTTTAGGAGGGGCCCCCAAACTCTAAGGGGCCCCCACAACGTTGCGTGACCCCCTTGATGACATCTTGGATCCGCCCCTACCACCGCACACCAGTTCACAGCCTCACTGCCCCGTCACACGCCGCTCCCGTGATCTTGTGCTTCTTTCAGCCGCAGGTACCTTCACGGTAGATATCTTCCATAACCAAATCGTTGGCAGTTATAACAGTGCAGTGGGTTCGGGATGAAAACTGGAACAGAGTAGCAAATGTGGCCAGCGATGATACTCCAGGAAGGTATTTGTATTCCACCGTGAGCACAAGCAAGCTTGTATGTTGCCTCTGGCCGTAGTTGACAGTTGTCATACGTCGAACCTCTACGTGACTGCGCTTGATATCCACGTAGTGGTCCCTGGGAGCACATATCCCTATCAAATTTATGATATGCATATCTATGAGCGCGAATAAATGTTGCCACACAAAGTTCCGGAGAGACACATGCAAAGATGCATATTGAGAACATACGATGTTGCTTTAGCCAACAAATTTTTGCGTGCTTGCAGGGCGCTAGACTCGGTATTCATATAACAAACTGGGCTTTTCTTTCCCCCCATTGCAAAATCGTGCATGCACGCCTGCTTTGAATGACAGTTTTCTCCTGGTCAATTCAAATCGGCATAAAGGATGATGTTTTCTGTTTACTGAACCAGTTTTGGGGGGAACTGAATGCTATTTTAATGACAGATATTCCATGAACCTTGAACTCCCAGAAGCCTTCGGAGTTTGTCGCAGAAGCGCAAATGTAAGGCCAGGCTAAACTAGCAGTAAGTCGACAGGAATCAGGAGTGCTATGCTTGAGTGTTAGTGTGTTGGGGTGGGTCTGTGTGGATGCCCTGCTTTTGAATTGTAAGTGTGTTCTCGGTTCGGAATTTTGCCAAACCTGACATCACGCGCTGTAACAGCAGTTTAGTGTCTCGTATCATGCGCTTGCTGACCGATGCATTTTGCTGAGATGTTGAAGCCTCCTCATGAGAGATGATTTTCTGCTTTGTCACGGAACCAATGTGAGCAGCTTAGTTACCTAATGTTTTTGTGTGCTGTATTCTATGCTCTTGGTCGTATTGTGATTGCAGTTGGTTGCTCTAAATCAGATACAATCATACTCTTGCTTGCATGTTTTGCATGTTTGCATGTTTCTGTCTTGCTCACCATGTTTACCTTTGTAATGGGTGGTGTATGTATTGTAGTGAATGTAATATGTGTTGTAGCAATGGAATAGCTGAAAAGATAAGGCAACTGTGATGTGGATCATTTTTTGCCCTTACATTACCATGTGGGTAACATTACTTTTGCAAATGGTAGGAGAGGATACTGCTCATCCTGTCAATATTGGCACCATGCCTGGTGTTCTGCCTCAGTTTGTGTAAGTGTCAGTTCTTATTGTGATGTTTTTTATCAGGGTCACATTATTTAATGGAAATTGTCAACATCAGTTGCATTTACATGTGCCATTTACAATTGGTGTTTATGAAATGCATGCAAATTTAGCAGAACTGTGGACGGGATACAATATGCTACCAGCACATCACATCATTTGTTTGTTGTGTGTTTTGCAGAATGTGATGCCCATGTTCAGCTTCTCTGCCTATTCTGGTGCATAACAACCAGGGTACACCAAGGATGCATGTTGAGTGAGTTGTGTGCATCATAACTGCTATTAGATCTGAAAACATGTTAAAATTGAGAGGAAGATCTTGAGATAAAGGTTGGTACCTATCTCTTGCAATACTTAAGCTTAGAATAAAGTGGTTGGCATGCTAGCTGATGACATTTTGAGGCACTCATTTCAGAAACTATCAAGCAAAAGCAAGTAATAAATATGGATGCATGATCCTTGCCATTTCAAACTGCTTCTGACACCTCTTGCCATTCTTAGACCCTGCTAGATATACTGGGATATAGTAAGACACTATCCTGGTCTCCTGTGTCAAATATAGCCAACATACAAACATTTCATGTTATCTCTACTTGGCATGCATAGCAGATAAAGTTCTTTGCACCAGAATTTCACCAAATGTACAAGAACCTCACCAAGGGCTGATTATGGACCTGCTGGGTTTCCAGATCCCTCCAGCAAAAGAGAAAGCTGGTACCTGATACTATAAATGGCTTAAAGTTATCTTAATGTCTCTAGGTCATCACCTTTAGGTCAATTAAGTTTAAAACAGGTGCAGACTCAAAATCAGTGTCAGAAGTTCCCTTGTGCCCCTTTATAGAACCAGGTTAAACTAAGACCTTTTTCTAAGGAAAAGGCCACTGGTGGTGATGTCAAATCAATGGCTTTAACCTACAACAGGCCAAAGTGACCAAAAACTTTCAAGATCATTTTGATATTTGAAATGAACAGCAGTGTCCAGAACTAATCTAGGTGGCATGCTTCTAACAGCAAAAGGTTGGTCATTGCCATTTTAGGTCAATTTCCTTTCCTGACTTTCATGAAGTCAAGAAATCTGAAGTGGGCATTAAAACTTTATAGCAATGTAAGTTTTCTGGTGGAAAGTGGTTTGGTTTTAATATTGATATGACCTTCATTTCTGGCCCACAGTCAATATGACTAGTTGATCCTAATGTCATTTGCTGTTTTGTCTTGGAAACCATCTCAGAGTTGCATGACTTCATCTAAACACTCTGTTGACACAGCTTGGAAGATTCCCAAAGAATTGCCTTTGCTGGTAACCATCGTCTGGCTGACCTGCCACACGCCAGACATAAGAAGGTTCGCCGTTTAATTTTTCCTGACATGATACAGCCTGTGTTTTTAGGACATGCTGCCTCTGGGGAGCAACTACTACAGATGTCCAAGACTGGATGTGATCCAAGGCTATCTTTAATTTCCATGCCATAAGCTGCAATCTCTTCTCAGGCATGAACCAGCACATGTGGTGAGTTTGGTTTGGCTGCATCATAAACCAAAGTGTTTTGTGCTGCCTGGCAGGTTTGTTGTGGTCCCTGTTAAGCAATTGGAATCAGATCTGATTGTAAGGACCTCAAAAACTGCTTGTGCCATAAAGTAAAAAAGCTCATTAAAATTTTGATAATCAATTTTAAAGGGACATTGCATTGCAATGTCACTCCATGCAATGGTATGATTGCTCACAAGGGCAAGTCTATTGTAGACATAGCTTATAAAGATTGCCCACACCAGCCTTATCACAGCACTTCAGTGAATTTTGCTGAGTGCATGTGAGTTCATTGTCAGACTTCTAACAATTCATCTCATGGCTCAGATCACCAACCACCATGTCATCCAAAACTTGTTGTTGACCTGCAGTCTGCAAAGGCCCACTGTGGCCAGCAAAGGCCCACTATGCTCACCAGTTGTGATGTTCATGAGGTGCTCTCTTCTAGGTACCCATGTGACGACACTCATGACGAGGTCCGGGTGGCGATGCCAGTCTCTCCGGAGAGTCGCGGAGCATACGAGTTCCGGTCTCTGACCCCAGCAGACATCGACACTGTGAGTGGCATGACCGGCTGGTGTGAAGCCGTAGCAAGGAGGCCAGAACTCCAGCGAACAAAACCAAAGGAAATCGGCCACACCACTGCCATGTGTCATTTCCGTGCATGTGTTTGCTGTGCTGCCATGTAAGGTGCCCAAGTCATGCAGACTACATGTGTGCACCTGTAAGACGCCTCGACCGTAGAGAGACGAGCGAGGCGATGACTGATGTGAGAGCTCTCTGTTATGGTGCAGGTGACATCAGCAACTATGTAAATGGAGTCAGACACCTGTGACAGCTGGTGTCGATGAGTTGAAAAGTCTGCCTCTCTTAGGAACTCAAAAGGCGTAGGTCCAATAAAACTGAACTCGCGCGCCAACCCACATGTTGTTACCCGGTCAGACTAATGTCAGCACCTCACTGTGGCCAGGCTTGGAAATTTTCATTGACAGCATGGATGAGCTTGTCCTTTTTTGCCATTTTGGCAATCACTAGCGATGTATTTCAAGATGCCCAAATATGCTGTTGGGTGTTGACACAACGCGCAGGGCAACACGCCTATGTAATTTTAGGCCCAATCGGTCTCGAGTATCTTTGTCGGTTTCCTCCAGAGTCCTGTGTTAATAAATGGGCTTCAAAAAATGTGGCGCAAAAAAGGCCGCACGCCAGCGCGCGGCCTTCTGGCTTCTGTACCGATTGATCCACGCTTGTCAGCACCATGGTCTGTTTTTTTTTCTTCGTAGAAATATGCTCAGTCTTGTGCCACTACGATGTGGGGTGTGTGAGATCTGGGCTGGGAGATCTGGGAGATAGGGAGGGAGGGAGGGAGGGAGGGAAACTACAGGGTCGTGGAGGATTACAGTTTTGTTGCTTGCTGATTCTGTCGCCCGGTTTACAGGTGCGAAAGCTATGCAAGGAATGGTTCCCCGTGGAGTACCCAGACAGCTGGTTCAGGGATATCTGCACCAACAGCAGGTTCTACACACGCGTCGCCACCTATCAGACCACCATTATTGGTTTCATTGTGGCCGAAGTGAAGATATATGCTCTACTTACGAAAGAGGTTCGTATTTCTACTGTTTTACAATTATGACTATTTTTAGGGCTATTTGTTTTTACTTTTTGGCTATTTTCGACGATTTATTTTGATGGTGTATTCTGTATTACACTGATCGACTTATGCTTGTGTCTTTGGGTCTCTGTTCCAAGTTCCTTGGCTAAAGTGTTCATTCCAGTATCTTGCTGTAAACTCTGTTACCACGCAATTGTTTCGATTAGCCATTCACCTTTTGGGGTTAGGTGTCATCCTCTATGGGCCGGGCGTCGCCCCTTCCGTGTCAGATGTGGTCCCCTCTTCCCCTTAATCACCTTCGCTCCATATATCGCCCCTGTGCTCCATATATCGCCCCTACGCCCCATATGCGGCGCGCCTGTCCCAGACGTGGCCGTCTCGGTCGACGCTGACGGCTGGTCTGTGTGCGTGTGTGTGCCGGCAGGAGCGGAGCATGCTGGCAGCCTCCTTCCCTCGTCGCACCCAGATGGCCTACATCCTCAGCCTCGGGGTAGGTGGGAGCGGGATCTGTGCAGGGGTCTCCCACGGACCTAGCCTCCGGCGGGGGAGGGGGCGATGTTGAGTGTGTAAAAATCCCGACATAGACAGTGCACAAATAATGTGCTGCAAGCGCCGGCAGTTATCTGCCTGGCACTGTCTGGAGCCTGCTCTCGTAACTGACATCTTGTCTATTGCCGCATCACGTATCACCGTGTCGCCGTACCTCTATCGCCCGCGTCATACGCGACGGGGGATGACCCTGGCCGCATCAGGCCCGGCGGGGCTGACCCTGGCCGCGTCGGGCCGCGTCAGGCCTGGCGGGGCTGACCCTGGTCGCATCGGGCCGCGTCAGGCCTGGCGGGGGCCGACCCTGACCCCTGTCCACCCGCGGCACACCTGGCGGGGTTGGCCCTGGCCGCGTCGGGCCGGAGCGCGTGTGCTCCTCTGGCGGACCGCTCGCCCGGTCCGCCGGCCGTGCCGTGCCGACGGGCGTGTGCGGCGGCGTGGGCGTGACTGGCGCGGCTGGCGTGCCCGCCGCCGCCTGAGCGGGGTCCGTCGCCGTCGGCAGGTGTCGGCCGAGTATCGGCGGCGCGGCGTCGCCTCCCAGCTGCTGGGCCTGCTGCTGAACGAGCTGCGCACGGCGGAGCACGCCGACTGCCGCGCCGTCTACCTGCACGTGCTCACTTCCAATAGCTCGGCGCTGCGCTTCTACGAACGCCACAAGTTCAGGTCAGGCGGCGGCCGGGTCGAGAGGTGCACTGTGCCAGGCCTGTCAAATGTTGGGATGAGTGCGTGATACCTGCGGTTAAGTTCAATCTAAGTTCAGTAAGTTAAGTCAAGTTGGATTCGATTTAGTGACGGAGGTCTAGGTTGTGACGGGTGGGGTGGCGTGCGTTGTCCGCGATCCATGCAAGCAGTTGACATGCAGGTCACATGTCTGATGGCTTTAAAGTCGGGGTACATACTTTCACTCTGACCAGCGGGCATGCTTTCTCCCATGCTGGGACGTGTGCCCACTCTGTGGCAGACTCGTCCTACCCCACCAACGACACTTCGTAGCTCTGGCTCACGTCCGTCGAACCGCCGCCGTTGCAGGCTGCACACATTTCTCCCGTACTTCTACAAGATAGATGGCAAGTACCGCGACGGGTTTCTGTACGTGTACTACATCAACGGCGGCCACCCGTCGTACGGCGCGCTCGACTACGTCGTATACGCCCTCTCGCTGGCGTACGACTTCAGCCCGTGCGCGCTGCTGAAGCACGCGCTGCGCATGGCGCAGCGGCTAGTCAAGTACGTGGTGCCGCAGGGCAAGCGGGTCACCGAGACCATCGCCTGCCTGTCGTAATGGCGGCCAGGCGCGCGCCGCTCCGCCAACCGGCTCGCCCGCCGCCCGGGACTGTTGGCCGCCGCTCATGCCCGGTGCGGTGGTGACGCGTCGGCTGGGACACCGCGCCAGGGCAGCGCGCGTGCAGGCACGGCCAAGGCCCGGCGAACGGCTGACGCCGGTGTGTCGCGCGGCCGCAATGCGGGCGGGCTCGGCGGCGTCAGGTGCGCCGGCGCAGCCGCTCGGACAGTGGCGGGGACCAGGCGTGGTCCGTGCCGCGCTGCTGGCCGCGCCGTCCCCGCGTGCGGACGCTCGCTGGTCGTGACCAGCGGCGGTAGGGTGGCGTGAGAGGCTAGACCAAACGGGTGGGGCTGCCGTGGACGACTGTGAAGCATCGAAAAATCACTGCTGTGACCCGCCGTCGCGCAAGATTCGGAATTTGGGACCGCTGTCGCGAACTAGTCGTACACCTTGTGATTGTGTTGATTTAATGTCACATTTTTTATTAGACAAAAGCGTTGATGCCCCACCTGACAAAGAATATAGAATTTGCCACTTCACTGCAATCAAACGGGGATGCAATCGGCTTGGAGCGCTCCAATCTCGTGCGCACCCGATCCAGTAATTAGCAGGGATTCGATTGAAGTGAACTGTACGTTGCGTCGCTTCAGTGAAATGTATCTCGAATTATGTGCCTTCTCCGCGTTTAAACTTTTGTCAGCAGTGTTGGTGGGACTGACGACGGTCAGATCAATATCTTCCAATGTGTGATTGAAGGTTGCTCGACAGGTCCGCAGATCCGCACCGCCACTAGTCACCAGTTGTTACGCATGTTGCAGGCCTGCGTTTGGCTCCGCTTCATGATGTCAGTAATTATGGAAACGATAGCGAACATTTCCTGCGCTTGCAGCATGGTGAGGTAGACATACCCGCGGGGGGCAGGCGAGTATTAGCTGGCTTTCAGACCGGACGTCAGGCGGCGTTGTAAGCTCGTGTCACTCCCCGGCCCATGGCCCACCGTGTCGGCGCGCGTTCCGTGTGGTGTGCTCGCCCCGCGTGGATGATTGGGACCGAGGGCTGCAGGCGACTGCGCGGGCCCGCAGTCCGGCCCGGGGCGAGTTGGTGATTGATCTCTGGCAGCAGCGAGGCCGTGGGGCGAGACCGCGCCGACTTGAGCGGGCTCGAGATCCGGCGGTGTCTGTATTATGTGGCCGAATGTGTCCCTGCGAACTCGCTTAACTGCATGTCCCTGCCAGCTCCGCGCCTGCTGTCGGGGCTGTCGAGATTGCGTGGAGATGTGCGTGCGAGGTGGACAGGTCGTGACGGGTACGCCAGGCGCATGCGCCGTCATTGGCCACGGAATGCCTGTCGTCGTTTGCGTGCCGTGCGGCAAACTGTACTCTTGCCCATGGTCGCCCTTGATTTTTCACCCCACAGTTGTCACAATACACAGGCAGAAAACAACGACCCGCAGTCTGCTGTGTTGTCCAAGTGTGTGTCATGTGGTCTTGCTGGGCGTGATCACCGGTGCGCTTTCTGCACGCAAGGCGCCGATACCAAAGTGACCTGTATCGAGGTTAGAAAACAGCGTTTGGTTGTTATATAGGAAAATAGCAGGCTCATTTACATGCGCTCGGGTGGCGGTCAATTTGCCCCCCCCCCCCCCCCCAAGGGTTTTCCGGAATGATTTCCGGACGGCGCGACGTAACCGCGCCAAATTTTGCAGAGGTGTAGATAAACAGCGGATTGATTAGGATACAAAATTTAGATGTACATAGGGGTGCCGGTAGTGTAGTGGTTAACACGTCTGCGTTGACCACTGCGCGTCTGGGAAACCAGGGGTACGGGGTTCGATTCCCCGCGTTGTCCGCCCTTCCTGCCAGGGTGAGAGGCAGGTGACGCCATATACCCTCAGCTGCTGAGTGCGTCGTAAGGCCCCAATGACACACACTTTTGGATGTACATTGTTAAGTCACTGACTACGGCAGTCAAAGTCGAGCCATGTATTCCGCGAAATCAATTTCTGGGGAATCGTTCAATCACATGCAACCACAAGATGTTGGACGAAGTCATGTATCTCTGAAATACTTTCTTAGGCAACACAACAATTAAGTTAACAAATTCCATTAGTCTAGGGTCATGTATAAAAGTCAGACCAAGGTAAAACAACCTGATTTATTACTCTAAGGTTTGCTGGGACTGGTAGTTTCTGGTGCTCAATTCGAATGTATTGATATCAGAACTGTGCTATATTCCTTTTATTAATCGTTATACTACTACTGCCTAGCACAATTTTTGTCGCTTATTCAAATGCAAAACTTACAGAAGTTTTGCACGATTTGGGTCACCATGACTTTCAAAGGGTCAAACAAGGTCACTAATCTTACATGAACATGTGACCTCTTGCCTAGAACATGAGACCAGGTTTGGGACCACTTTGGACATGAACTTGGGGTTTGAGCTCATTTAACCTTATCTGACCCGAAATTCATGGCCTGGAAACCTCAAACTTTGACCCAAGTGAGCTTGCTCACATGCGAACACGCCCCGTGACTTTGGTGTTTCTAGCTCCTTGGTTTCTGAGATCTCAGGAGGGGAGCTGCGGCTGGTTTTCATGCATGCAAAATCGCACGAATGGTTATTTGTGTGGTTAAAAAGTAACACTTTATGCCATAAAATATCTTGTGTTTTTTGTGCCTGTTATCGCATCTGAAAGGCTGATGGTATTAGAAGTTTCCAGTCTTCCTGATCGAGTTTTGATTATTTCGGTATATAGCTGAACCTCAAGCATAGCTCAATTGAGTGACCCTCAGTAACTGTGCTATTTCGCTGAGATCGGGACGTTGGTGCGGTTTCGCTTGCAGGTAAAGTGTTGGATGGTGTAATGACAGTAAACCAGCAAGATTTGTGTAGGATTTATGTCGTATGTGTATTTATGATTGCACTGCTTATGTGCACTTTGGTATCATTGTCCTTGGTTTTGCAGGTTCCTGCTGATTTCATTGAATGGTAAACAGTGCGCTTAGTTTGCCTTCTCCGTCTTGACTTTCTTTCGACCTCTGCAGAGGGGGGGAATAGGTGGACAATGATAGGGTTGATTTTGTGATGAATACTCTATCTGCTCTGGCAGGCTGCCTCAATGCCTTCAAACTTTATGGGAACAAGTGTTTATGCTGTTCACTTAACGTGGCTGGGTTTTGCACAGTACACACCGACATGTCATAAACTTTCCGGTGTAGTGCACGAGGTTGACAATATGTAGTGTCTAGATTTTACTTTATAGCACTATTGCATGCGATTATTCTTGTATTGTTATCGGTATTAGTGTTGCTATGTACAAATGTCCCAATTTTTTAAAGTTTATTTTTATCTTGAGGCATTCTGTGTGGCATTGCTATAATCATAAGTATTTGAGAGGATCAGATGTAAACCTTAAGGTTTTCTATAACCCATACCTGCACCATTTATATGGGTGCTTATATGTTATTATTTCTGTGGATGTTTTGTTTGTGTTGTTACATTGTCTAAAGCCTTGCAAAACAGGTAATTGGAATGTTTGAAATATTTGATATTTTGGATAAATTGTGTGTGTAAAACCACACATTGTTTTGTCTCAGCATGCTTGCTTCAGGATTTCTGTGGTAGATCCAATTTGGCTGTAGCTACAGGCTTTAGCTCATTGTGTATAATCATGCTCTATTCCATTAGAAACATATGATATAATTGCATGGCATGCTGTTAAAAGTATTTGAATGTGTTCCTATAGCTATCTTTTAATCACATAAGCTTGCCTGCTATTTGCACAAAAGTGAATTTCAAGGATATGTGTGAATACATAGGTACTAGGAGGGATTTGTTCTTTATAAGTTGGTGACTTATGTTGGTTGACTTATGTTGGTTGGTATGTTGGGTGACCAAAGTTGGTGACTAATGCTAGTCAGTTAATTTCTTTGAAACTTTACCAAACCTGCCATTCAGTTTTGATAGAACATAAGACAGTAGTATAATGGGAGGTTAGGCTGCTTTTAGTGCCATGAAACAGAACATGTCATTCTATTACTTCATACAACTTCAGTACTTATCAGATAATTTATTGTGTGTGCCAGGCTACCATAAAACCAGTCTGCTGAACAGGGGTGCATTTCACATCCTTGGTTTCTATATTGAGAAAAGGGAATGACAAACCACTTTAATGCTTATTATCTTTCATATATATCTCTCTGCCTTCACCTTTCACCCTGTCCTGTTCACAGCAAGATGAAATTCATGTTTAGTAGACCATGCCATGCTAGGAAGCCAAGCATCCATGCAGCAACAGCAAGCATCTGGCCATATCATCGTCATCGAGCCTTTTATGCACATGCAGTACTCGTGCTTTGGCTTTATTCAACAAAATCTTACATCACCTTTAACAAGGATCACAAGTACCCAACTACCAACATAGATCATGCTGTCAACCATGCCTTATAATGTACAATATGTGTTTGAAAGCACTCACCATAACTTTCTTCCATTTTTTCAGCCAAAATGTCATCCTCAGAAGAGAAAGACACTGCTAACATTCCAGAAGATGCAGAAGAAGCAAGTGATGACTTCAAAAAACCTGAGGTATTGCATCTTATACTTAGTACTCTATGGCATTTTCATGTTGCTGTTTCAGGTGATAGATAAACATGACATTTATAGGACATGGTCATGGACATGGCCATTTTTCTGGCAACCTATTTCATTGTGTCAAGTTTGGAATTTGGCCACTATCCAGTAGGCACCAACATTCTACCAGGCTCACAAACCTTTTGTGTACTAGGCTCCCAACTTCAGTCATGACAAATGTTATACACAACATGTAGCCTTCTGAATACAGACAGACCCAGTGCAGACAAAAAAGGTTGAAGCCACTTTATACAGAAACCAACCACAAGAGCAGCTCAGTCTGGTATAGCTCAACTGCCTCATGGCTATGTGCAAAAAGTCTTGAGGTTCAATCAGGGATGCTAAATGTGTTGCTGGACCCCCAAAATTGTTATTACTATTATAGGTAGGAATCAAGGCTACACCTTCTGGGTGTAGCAATCATAATTATATTGCATATGTGTGTTGACATAATGGCTGTTTGCCACATTATATCCCTTGTCTTATAAAAGCCCCCTTATGAACAAATTGACAGGTTCCAAGAGAAAAGACTCCTGTGCTTGCATTATGAATATTGAGAACAGTCCAGACAGATGCTTTCAAAATGTAAGCAATCCCAGAGCCAGATTACTGCTGCAGGGCTTTGCACTGTAACATTGTTTTGCCCTATTCCTGTGCAGGATGCAGTCAGTCCAGGTTTTCTGTGTACAGTTTCTGAACTGTTTGAAACAGAGCAGTATTACAAACTATCCATAACTGCCCCTTGTACACATGCCCCCAGGCACCATGCCCAACTTAATTGATGGTTTCTTAATCTGGGTTTCAGTGCAGTGTCTGTTGAAGTAGAATGTAATTTGGAGAGGTGTGCAAATTATCATTGATGATGCATGCCACACCATGTATACAAGTCACTGGTTTTCATGCCTGTTATGTACACAGACTGTTGAGGTGGCTGTGAGGGAATCATAATGTTGTCCCAGAAGTGTGAAGTGGTAATGCCTAAAGGTAGTTTCATCCATTGTTATTCTGTGTCAGTATCAAAATGAGCGATTGCTTTCTCGTCCAAAACCTGTGCAGAATGTCCACACTGATGAAATACGTCATGAGCTGCGTTGGCCGAAAATTACCTTCATTCTGATAGATGTCACCCATGTTAAAGGTTTTGTGCCGAACTTGTTTGCAGGTACAGTAGAACACTGCCTCGTTGGAGACCACTTGCCATCCGATTTGTGCATGGGTTTATCAGGTTCGGGGCGGGCTAAATGCCACCATGTCCAGGTCGCGGGTATCGCGTAGAAAGAGGCTGAAAGCTTAGGCGGAAAGACAGTTGGAAAAGGCTACATGTTGGTGGTGGGAGCTTGGCGTTTATGGGGCAGCAGCATTATGACTGCTTACCGCCCACGACAAATGAAATGGTCTTCCTGGTTGTGTGTAATGCCCAGACGAATAACGTTATGAAACCCGGAACACGCATGTTTCAGGTTTCATAACGTTATTCGTCTGGGCATGTGTTTCAGAAAGACAATTGCAGTTATTGAAGTTGCAAGCATAATAATGAAGTTATTGTGTAAGCACTATCACAAGGATTTCTTTCAGGTGAACCCGTTGCTCGCGGAGGAAGCCAAACTCAAAGCCAAGTACCCCAATGTCGGCCGGCCAATGGCTGGTCACTCAGCATTCCTGCAGAAGCGTTTGCAGAAAGGGGTAGGTAGTGAGCTTCTGGGCTGTGTGTGCCGTGTTGGTGACACTCATGTTGAACATATTTTATAGTGGGTCAGCATTTCTTTAAAGTAATTTCGTTTTTGATCTGCTCTTTTGAGATATTCAATGTTTGAGGGTTGTTTTTCATAGGTGGCATCATTTTTGCTCTCAAATGTGGCATAGGGGTATCTCGTACACTAAAAAACGACACTCGTTAATTTACTGAAGCCGAAGATTTACGCGCCTGACATGTGTTTATTTTCTATCACATTGCTCGCTTTGATGGCGGCGGCATAGCGAGCAGCCTCTTGGGCACGATTTAATGACTCATTTTCGCTCACCATCATCAGTCGATGTCCGAGAATATCTCATGGTTCCGAGAGAAGAGCTTGAAAGCTTCACGCTCACAGAGAACCCACCGTCGATCCATTCACTGCCACGTGTTCGGCAGTCCTAGAAATTCGAAAGCCGCCAAGCCTTTCGTTACTGAGTGCGTCTGTCTAGCACTGACATCCGCGTGCCAATTCCCGCACCCCTGCAGCAGAAGTACTTCGACTCGGGCGACTACCAGATGGCGAAGCAGCGCGGCCCTCTGAGCAAGATGCGCGGCGGCGCCCAGTTGCGGGTCACGCCCCCCACCGGCGAGACCATCCCCACGCCCGAGTCGCTGCCCGCCCGCAAAACGTCGCTTGTGCAGAACAGTAAGACGCCGCTGACCTAGGGGCGCGGCGCGCCGCGTGGCCGCCGGCGGCGCCCGGTGCGGCAGTGAGGCGCGCCACGCGCCGTGAGCGGTGCCAGAGTTCGCCGCACGGACCGAGAGACTGCAGCTGCCGCGCGCTCCGTGCCGACTGTCGCCGCCGCGTCGCCCGCCGACTTTTCTGTATACCGTGTACGACTGGTCAATGAAAGGTGTCTCTCCGCGTGTGTTGAGCTCGGTGCCGCGCTCTCCTAGCCGACTGTAGAAAATGGCTGATACGCTGGAGATTTTCCGCCCTTGCTTGCACTCTGTCAAAGGGATTCTTACGTGATTTGGCCCCTAAGTCCATTGTGATGTTGGCAACTTCGGTGAAATAAATAACTGTTCCATCCGCGTCGGTGAAATATGTGGACCCGGTTTAGTCCGCAACGCTTATGTGTGTTGTAATGGTCAGCGCTTAAAGTGACTACCTTAGGCTCAGAGGGCTGGACCTACCAAGTCATTTGATTTTGCTATGGAGCTTGCTAGCAAAGGGGCGTCTGGACGAAGATTTGGCATTTTGACACTGGCATCGAAGCTGAACTCGGAGCTAAGACAATTATAAAGTGAAAGTCGAAGACGAGACTCGTTGCTGTGAAGTTTGGAACTGCGAAGTGCAGTCTTATGTCGGCGTCTTCATATTTCTGAAATGTGCCGCGTCCGAAGCCACTAGCTTCGAACACTGCGTCCTTGAAACCGGGGCTAACGTCAGCGGGTGCAAAGTCAGGAAACGCGAAGCCGAAGCCGAAACAGATCAAAATCGCCAGCAGGAGGTCTGTTAAAACCTAAAAGGATTAGGTTTTAGTAGCGTCAGTTTTCTGGTGCGTGGCCGAGACAGGGTGGGGCATTACGGACGAAAGGGTTTTATGATTGTCGTTCTAGTTTTGTGTGTTAACAGTACACAACAATTTAACTAGTTGTTCGTTTGTCGCCTGCTTTTAGCTAGTCCTGATAATGACTGGCTTGTGTGGTGTGATATATGGGGATGCAGGGCGAAAAAAATATTTTTTGCGGAGCAAAGTCGCTACTGCAGTGAAAACACCACAATCGCAAAGCTGAAGCCAGCAATTGAAAGATCGCGCGAATCCAAAGCCGCGGCCGTCATTGAAACGATGCTGGAGGCCGGAACCAAGGCCAGCTGTGAAAAGTGACACGAACCCGAAGCCGAAGTCGACCGCGTGTGGCTTCGGAAAGACTGACGGTGCGGAAAGTGGCTCAGACCCTACACGATTGAAGGAATGCCACGGTACACATACGATAGTACAAAACAATACTTGGTACATTGCATTATTGATGCCTTCGATGTCAATTACAATAATGCAACACTGACACCGCCAAATCCCAGCAACCGAATTATCATTTTTTTGCTTCGTCCATGCTCGACACGCTGTGGACTAAGACGCTGGTATCATGGAAACGCTACCTTATGGCACACAACCTCCAGTGACAAGTCACAGCCAGAAATATAGTTCGTTCGTGAAACCGCGTATTCGAAACAGTTATATGGAAAACAGACTTAGCAATCGTACCAGGCCGGCAATTTTGTGCACTTTTAATTGCGAAGCAATGCTTGGTGGTCCCAAGGTGTTTAAGAGGGCTGAACTCGTCTTTTCTTGCAGAGGATCGCACCGCCCCAGGTGGAAACGGGCGCGGCGATCACCGATTCCGTATGAAATAGGCCGAACGTTGCAGCACGTCCAAAGCCATATGATATCTGTTTTGCTCTCGTTAAGTCGTGATATTCTACCTCCTTCCGTCCGTTGAGGTTCGGCCTTAACCGTTTGAATGGGAGGCGGGCACCACCTACCGGCAACTGCCTGACGGCAGTGTCTGAAGTCCACAGAGTTACGACTGAGGACGAAGCGCAGGGGTTGTGGCGCTTCAGGTGTTGTGGATTTGCTGGGGCTGTAACGCCTCTAACTTTTCGGAGCCAGTTGCTGAAGCGGCCTCTCGCCCACATTTGGCATGTTCTGTGATGGCGGGGAAGTATGAGAGGGCGTGGCCTGAAACTTTCAGTACCTTTAAATTGAATGTTGCACTTTTGAAGATTCTGAAGTAAGCATCAAATATGCTGAACCAAGCTCACCTATAACTATTGGTATACTTTTAAGTGGAAGACTGCTAGATATACTGGTGCATGGTACACTACACTGCACTAGTAGATGGCAGCACACCAGGGAGGGGGGGGGGGGGGGGCGTTACCTTTCCTGGTCAGTGGCTAGAGAACCTTTCCATTCCAGCCCAAGGTATTCCCTAGCTGCCATCTCGCGGCATGGGGACTGGCCCCCTGGTCTATTTGGAGGCCCTCAGGGAGCGTATTGTTTATCGGTCCCCTCCTCGACGCAGGCTGTCTTCTGACTGGAGCTGCTGCAGCCGGATCGATGCAGTGGCTCTCACTGGCGCAAAAGGATCATTTACGGGCACAGAGGGTCCAATAATTTGCACAGGAAACCCAGTTCCTTTCCACGAGTCACTGGTCGAAACGAGGCGGTGGGCTGCCGTTCGTTACTGAGGCCTCCTGTGAGAATCGGGGCCCTTCGACTGTCTTATTGACTCATTATGAACCCTTTCACTGCTGCCAATGTTCTGCCGCCCTCAGAGGGGCCGAGCCAACGGAGAACGCCTGTGGTTGGCTGTGATGGGCACCAAATAGGCCTCTGGCCGACTCGAGCGGCACGGCATCTCCTATCATGTACGCACTGTGGTCAGGGGACACCCTGTCCAAGACGGGAACCCCGGCCAATGCGACTTGCTAGGTCTTCTCAGTGTCATTCGCGGACCCAGACATTGTCCATGCTTGGAAAATTGGCCTCAGTCCGACAAAGGGACGATTGTTGGTGATCTGGACCGAAGTGAAGGACTTTATTATCACAGGGGCCCCCTATCATTGCCAGAGGCCCTGATTGACATTAGAGAGCCCGGCCCTTCGTACTGGAGGCCCGGCCGGCCCTTCGGTCCTTCGAGCCCTATAATCGGGCCATTGATTGTCAATCCCGAGGGACCTTCTGGGTCCCGAGGGACCGAAGGGGCCACGCGCCTGCTTCCCTTCCCCCTCCCCTGTCTGCGGCGTACGTGAGATAGCATCGTATCAACGATGGTGGCAAACGAGCACCACCGAAAGTACCTATGAGATTCCTTATGTTAAAAAGCTTATCTTATTGCGTTGCGGGGTCCCAGCTTCACGATATAGATCACAGTGCATGTCTGACGCTTGCAATTATCTAGGAGCAGTCACGCCGCTCTCATTGCCGAGTACATCGCCGAGTACATCGCCGAGTACATCGCCGAGTACATTGCAATCAACAATGGTCATATCGGAGCGCCGGTGACCAACCGCGAGGCTTTGTTACAAATGTATAACACGAAACAGGCATTTTCTCTTAGCGCTACGCGTAAGTCAGTCTTTTGGCTGTAGCTCGGTCCAAGGTTGAATTATTTCAAAAGCTTTAAACGTTCAGACTCCTTTTCACGCCTCGCATTTTCTACGTTCTACCACGAGAAATCCGTTCACTAGTATTCTTCCAGTGCTATCTGAATTAAGGTTCAACACTTCGTCTTTACAGTAACCTACGGAGATAAGTTATCACATGACCTTGAACGGAGATAAGACATCACATCAGCTTGCTAATTTCGGTCTCGGAACTGTTCGTACTGCACAGAACTAGTACCTTGGTAAAGTTCACGACCATAGCTTTACCGGAAGCGACATAAAGGGGCATTTGAAATCGAGGATGAAACGAATGGGCTGCTTAAAAACCGAGTGAGGTGATCAGATCCATATTTCTGGAAGTTAACTCACCATGTTAGGGGTATGAGTTGTGGCAAGACGTGAAGTGTGGCAAAACGTAAAGCACGACAATAAACTCACGTGTTTTGTTGTGGTGGTTTTGACATTCTGACATTAGTCAGAAATGTAGGAGGTAGTTAAACACGTTCTGTATGTTGTTTGAAGATCATGAAGCGAGTCACGTAACATTTCCAGTCAGGTTTCCTACAAAATATAGCGTTTTACATTGTCCTTTAATTGAAGTCGTTTGCGTCATTCAATCTTGTAACGAAGCGGAGTTATGAGCTTAATAATACCTTATCATTTGATACAAAAATATGGTATGCATCTAGAATGATGCGTTGGCTTCCACTTACTGTCAATCATTTGCCGCAAATTTTGAAGGGATCCAAGAAGTCGGTTGTGAAAAGTAATTGGCACGTCATCGTTTCAAGCTAGGTGGGGTCGAATTAGCTGGGCTAATCAGGGCAGGCTTGCTTATTACCAAACAGGCCGATTTTAGTGATCAAATGAAGCGTAACGAAACTTGTACAAAATTGCTAGATTACAAGAGGAGCTTACTTTTTTGTTTTCTTTTCTAAAATGGTGGAAGTTTTTTTTAATGTTGTCAAAATTAGACGATTAATTACAGAAACACGTGTTCCAAATGTTACATTTAAAGTGCTTAAAATCTAAATAAGTCTATGGGGCTCCGACGTTTAGTGGTTTTTAGTCGCGTATTTTAGGGAAATGAAGTGTGACAGGATATAGAAAACGATGAGCAACAATATCATACACTTCGTTATTATATCAAACATAAAATGTAGGCACAACAAGCTTATCACATTCCTGGCGATCTCTTTACCTTCCATTCGACATTACTATATGACCCGATTTAACGTCTCGTGTTTCCTGCATAACGTAGACATTGCTCGCACCCATCAGGTACAATGAACCCCAAGTGATAATCCTCTTTCAAAGTCGAGTTAATCAACAAGCAACAATGTATGAAGCTAAACCAGAAGAGGCAAACGACTTTTTAAAAAAATTGCTTCGATTGCTGCTTGTCGGCACGCCATTAACGCATATCTGGCCGGGCTGCTCAGCACTGCTTGTCAATCGTCGTTTCATTCGCAACATATTAAGCCATAGGTTAGCAAAGTTGGGCGTTGACAAAAGTTGGAGAGTAGAGTTAAAGCTGTGTAAAAGTTGGAAATTTACCAAAATCGTACAGTTACAACTTTGACTTGAAACAAAATTATCACACCTGTAAACACATTTAAATATATTTTAGGCCATTGCCATCGCCACTGGGGCTTTACGATTCACCCAGCTGCTGAGGCGATAAGGCGTCACGTACCTCACAACCTGGCAGGAAGGGCGGGCACCGTGGGGATTCAAACCCTTACTGATTATTTCTCAGATGCGCAGGGGTTAATACAGATGCGTTTGCCACTGCACTTTCGGCATCCACAGATAGCTTATATGAAATAAACAACTTCCACCGGCTTTTCCAGCAACGGCGAAGGTCTCGCAATAGCTCCAAAATTCAGCGTGTTATTACAGAAATTAGGTTTCTAGAAGCAAAACCAATGTTAGGTCTGGGGGACTACGAATGATGAAGTTGGCTTTTATCAGTGTGTCACAGCAACATGACAGTCATTG